AAATGGTGACGACTGAAAGAGCGGAGGGCAGCTGTGATTTCTCGTATTCGACTACCTGAAGTCCAACTGTTCAGCGAAGACGCTGGGACGAAGCTGTTAATTTTAACAATCGCAGCGGCCGCTCGAACTTCCGCACAACGAAGGCCTGGACGTGCGGAGGAATTGGCCAAAGAGGGCAATGGTCTCGACGGGCGACGTCAAAGAAAGGTTGAGAAAAGAAAGAAGACTATCACGACGTTCCTCGAGCCACGAAGTCGGCTGACCAACTAGCCCAGTATCGAAGCGAGGAATGCCGGCCAAAAGACGGCCGTGGCTGCTGTGAAGGCCGCTCACTTCGATGATATCAGCAAGAAGCTGGAGACGCGCGACGGCGAGCGGTACCTGCACGGACTTGCCAAATCTCGTCGTCGCCAAACCGAAGACATTGAGAAGTTCTTTGGCATAAGTGATGAGAATGGCCAGCTTCTGATGGACCGAAAAAGGGTATTGCAACGATGGCGTGAATACTTCGAGGGCATCTCAAAGGTGGAATTCGCCCATCTGCTATACAACATCATATGGCCCGTTCAGAGGATCACCGTACATTAAACCGAAGCTGCTCTGAGGAAGATGAAGGCCGGTAAAGCAACAGGCCCCGACGACATCGCTGTGCAGCACCGTATGTAATCTTGTGCGGTTCAGTGGATTCTTACTATGCTTTATGCGCCACCGTTATCTACGCATACAGTACAAGAAGTGAAGCTTGGGGGGCGGGCCCCCGAGCCGTCGCGTACGCGGCGTCGCGAACGCGACACTTGCGCCGCCAGGCTTTAAAAAACTATCACACTAGCAAAGAACTGTCAATTGTAAAGGTTTCCACATATAGAATTGTAACCGTATCACTGCTTCCGACTTCTGTAGGGCGTAGTATCGAATGTCGCCTCCGCGGTGCCACAACGATCTCGATACTCTGGACGGGATATAGGCTTGACGGCGTGATGATGGAAGTTAGAGCAGATGTTGTTCCAGAGCAGCGACGAAAATCGGAAGGCAGTTGAGGAGAGAATAGGAAGCTAATGCGTAGACGGTAGGCGAGAACTGTCGACAATCGAAGAAGTTGGGAGAAATGGAGTAGCAACCAGCAGCTGAATACAAAGAATAAGACTCGATCGGCGAAATGCGAGGAAACGCGAATTCAGACCACTTAGCAGCAGTCAGAATTTGCGCTTCTTCGCGGGTGGACCGGAACACAACACCGTGTTGTGGCTCCCACGGCAATTTTTGCACGTTACTGTGCAGAGAGCCGCGCCATGGTCGGGGCGAAGACATCGGGCCGCACAAATGGCTGGCTCTGCCCAGCTCTCATAAGCCCGGTTACAGAATGACTGGATACCGGTGGCAACGTGACGTTAGGTGACCATCCACATTCTCGTTAGCCCGACAGAAAACACATGCGGATTTGGGCGCAGAACGGTCGACGAGAGTGTGGATCGCTTCTTTCATCTCAGCAACCATAGTGTATAGGGTGTCCAGCCGATTAGTAATGCTTTGCAAGGTGTCGGCACATAGCCATGGGGGAAGCCTGGCGCTCATAGGTCATCAGTTGGATCTCGCGATCAAGGTCGTCTGCCATCTCACAGTGAGATGAATAAATGATGGAGTTTAAGTACATCTAGTTTAAGCTACAGCGAAGAAATTTTGATTTGTTTCGTATTTGTGATTTGTACAGCATCTAGCACAGCTAGGATATCATTTCGTGAAGTACTGACTATCGTCGATGCTGTTTCGATAGCAGTCAGAGTTTTCGCGCAAAACCGAATGCACTCCTCTGCGTTTTCTGGGTACTGCGGCGGTTTCACTTCGCAAGGGCTCTGAACGTCATCATATTTGAGCCATTAAAATTCTTGACAGAAGCGCGCTTAGACTGCTTTTATGAAATAGGGGTCATCGCTGTTCCGCCTTCTTTCCTGTCTTTTTCTCAACTCATGCAAATAAAGTGAGTATGGTGCTTCCTCGCGAAGGAAAATCGGCTGTCGTGCGGGCATAACCTATCATGGCCGACCTGCCTATCGAGTCAATTCGGCGAATTTGCAAGAACTGACTCGAGGGCTTGTCCGTATGATTCGGAGCTGCCGATGCACCAAAAGAATGTGCAGCACCGTATGTAATCTTGTGCGGTTTGGTGAATTCTTACTATGCTTTATGCGCCACACGTTATTCTACGCATACAGGTACAAGAGAAGTGAAGCTTGGGGGGGGCGGGCCCCCGAGCCGTCGCGTACGCGGCGTCGCGAACGCGACAATCGCAGCTGATTTGTTGAAGTCACCACGCTGGTTTTCTGCGGGTTGGTTGACGGAACTCTTCAACCAGATCGTCGAAGAGAAGAAGGTCCTAAGGACTGGCAGCAGAGCGTGACGATCCCGATCTGAAAGAAGAAGGGCAACCCGGCAGAATGCTCGAACTACCGTCCTATTCGCCTTCTCTCGCACACTATGAAAATCTTCGAACAAATTGTTGACGCCCGTGTTCGTGATATCGTCCAGCTTTCCACCAACCAGTGTGGCTTCGTGGCGGGTTGTAGCACCGCATCGACGCCATATATGCCGCCGCTATTGCTGACGAACACGCGTGAGAAGCGAAAGCCCGTGCATGTGCTTTCGATGCCTTCGCAAATGGAGTTCCCGTATACCGCGGTACATGCAAGGCTCTGCCGCTCATCAACCACTTCTTTCTTTGCGCTCATGGATGCCATTTCAGCGAGATCTTCAGAAGGAAGTGCCATGGACCCTGCTTTACGCTGATGATGCTTGCTTGTGAAGATAAGAGCGCACTGGAACAGCAGGTGCAAGCTTGGGCCGAGCGTCTGGCGAAGTTTGGACTCAGGTTGAACGTCAACAAAACCGAGTACCTGACAACCGACCCAAATGAGCCGGGCTCCATTAAGATCGATGACACGGTGCTCAAGCGCACGGAAACATTCAAGTATCTCGGATCAGCACTTGCGTCCGACGGCAGTCTGAACTCGGAAGTGAGCGCACGAGTGAGTGCGGCGTGGTCTAAGTGGCGATCCATGTGTTTGGGCGACAAGAAAATGCGGAGCCGCTTCAAGTCTAAAGATCTATCGTACTGTCGTCCGACCTGTCGCGTCATATGGTGCCGAGTGCTGGCCCGCGACCAAAGAAGTTGAGGCTCGCCTTGGTGTGATGGAGATGAAGATTTTGCGCTGGACGGCGGGCGTCACGCGATCGGACCGCATTTGTAGATTGTCGTCGCGCAGAAGTATGGTGTACCCCCATAGCAGAGAAATTGCCTTCGATGGTAGGGGCACGTACTTCGCGCGAAAGCTGACACCGTCCGTAAAACCGCCCTCCAATTCGAGGTACCAGGAAAGCGGCCAAAAGGGCGTCCCAAACAGCAACTGCCTCGAAGCCTGCAATACGTCTTTGAAATAGCCGGCATTCACCCCGAGGCATTCAATCGGGAAAAGTGGCGTAGTTATATCAAAAAAGCGGACCCCGCCATCGAGCGGGACAAACGCTGAAGAAGAAGAAGAAGAATGATGTGTTGCATTTGTTGCTTGTGTCAATATATGCTAATGAAATATAAGTCGCAAAAAGAACAAAAAAATATGCGCGTGTTTTTGGCAAAAAAAAGAAAAAAAAAAAAAAAAAAAAAAAAAAAAAAAAAAAAAAAAAAAAAAAAAAAAAAAAAAAAAAAAAAAAAAAAAAAAAAAAAAAAAAAAAAAAAAAAAAAAAAAAAAAAAAAAAAAAAAAAAAAAAAAAAAAAAAAAAAAAAAAAAAAAAAAAAAAAAAAAAAAAAAAAAAAAAAAAAAAAAAAAAAAAAAAAAAAAAAAAAAAAAAAAATGGAAGAAAAGAGGGGCTTCGCGTGTTACTCCGCGGATACACGACGCTCGAGCGTGTTAAGGGAACACACATAACCTATGCTAAGACTCGCACACAGTGAATGAGGCATACGCGGAAAGATTGTAGTGTCACTGACAAAACTCAATATTTCGCTTCTAGAGCAGCCCACAGATGGGAAAGATTTCCTATGCTTAGCAAGGGTAGATAGACTCCTAGAAGAGACACACCCAAAATGGCACGGCTTATTCGAGATGGGCGGAGCTTGCTGCAAAATTTCATAGCTCGGTCCTGGGAGAGTTTGGAGATCGATAAAAATTATTGGAGATGAAGGAGGATCGCATGGCGAGAGTTGAGTGTATCTGCGATGTTGAAACTGGACAGCCACATTCTTAACCACTTTTCGTCACAGGTACACTTTGTTACCGGTCGGCTCGCCGTCAGATGCCGGCGCGCCACTTGTGTGATATGACCCGCGAAGGCGAAGCGGGCGTGGATTCGCTGCTATATCTCCTTTCAAGTATTCAAATGCTCACCTGAAACCTAGCTTTTCTCTCTGCTCTTGATCAACACTCCTTATCATCATTCCATATAAGATAATAATATTGAATAGGAGGTATGATGCTATTGGTTAAGGAGCGTTGTTCATGTGTACAGATAAAACAGGAGCCCGGTATTGGCTCAGTATCCAAACACAGAGAAGAAAGTACACGCGGCGAAGTCCGCCCGTCCGGTAGGCCAGCCCCTGTCACAAAAGGAGGCGTGCCGGCGTCAGCCGGCGAGCCGACTGGTAAAGAGTAAGAGATTAAAATGAGGTTTAAAAGATAGATAGAGGAGAGAAAAAGCGAAAGTAAATGAATGCGTGGTCGAGTAGCAGCGGTACACTTAATTTTAACATTGTAACCGAAACGCTGCCATCGCAAAGTCTGAACGCTGCCATAAGAGGGTTGCCTTGTCGCTGGGTAACTGGTTTCCCCCAAAATCAGAATGACAGTGTGCAGAAATAATGTACACATGACTATTCCACTACCTTAGCGGAGTGGGGACAGCAGACAACAAAGTACAGCGTCGTTGGGACAATCCCAACAAAGGGGCGTACATGGTCGCAGAGGAAGGGAAGGCGGGAGGAAGGGCATGGCTTTGGTAGGGATTTTCCCAAAATGCGATTCTCGGAAGGAAAAGTGGTAGGCAAAAAAGGTGGGCAAATTCCACGATGCTGTATCGGACTTTATTCACACATTATTATTCCTCCTCTCCTTAGAAAATAAATTTTTTTTCTTGCAGAAGGACAAGAAGGATCCAGCCGCTGGTCAGGCTGAGGAGAAGGACAAGTTAGCGAGTGTGAAGAGGACACAATCTGTTTCGCTACTGATACCTCCAAATTCAGTAACCACTGAACCAACACAGGCGAAAGTTTCTGCTACGGGGGGCAAGTGGACGCAAAAAATTAACAATCGAGGCAATAAGAAATTAATATACAAGATTAGGTGCTCGAACAATAACGCATATCGTGTTAGTCCAGTGTTCGGATTTGTAGACGCCTCTGGAAGCGCTAACGTTGAAATAATTCGACTAAATGGAGTTCCAAAGGAAGACAAAATCGTGTTTCAGTACACTGTAGCTCCAGCAGATGCGACCGATGCCCAGATTGCATTTGCCCACGTGCAACCCACAGGCGACTTGGTTGTTAATGTAGTTGCATCATAAAAGTCTCGATTGTATGTGATTTTGTAATAAATTTAATTATTATATGAAGGATATCACAGTTACAATGTCACAACAGCCGGACAGTAGAAGTAGTCCGAAAATCTCATCCGCTCACTGGGAGCGGAATTGTGCATCAGTCTGAAGAGGAACGGTACGCTTGCTTGCAAAATGTGTCCGTGCCATGTGGGGTTGAGTGAGTCGGCTGTTGTAGACGTGTGACCCTTTCGTCGTTTTGAACGGAGAGGAAATGATGCTAGAGAGCAAAAGGTAAAATGTGGATGTTGTCTGGGTATTTACACGACGTTCGCAGCGTGCAGCGTGTGCGTCGACGTCGTGTCTCGCAGCGAACAACGTGAATGGTAAGGTGCGTGTAAGACTATATAACGAAGAGTTCTCTAACCTGACGAATGAACGTAATAGGCACAGGCAAGACGCGGGATTGCCTCGGTCAGGCTGCGTTCATACTATACAGCAGCGCCCACTAGCGTTTACCAGGGTTCACCAGCGACCATTAGCGTTACGAGAGTTAGAGGAGTGAGGTATCTATTTAGCGTCTGCCAGCATCCAGCAGTGTCTCGGGGCTGGAGAAGTATAGGTATCAATTTAACGTCTACCATTGTCTCAAGGCTAGAGAGTATAGGCATCGCTCTAGCGTCTACTAGTGTCCACCAGCGCCTACCAGCGTCCACCAGCGTCTCAGGGCTAGAGGGAAATTGGCATGTTCAAGCGTCTACCAGCGTCCATCTGCGTTCACCACCGACTGGAATAGAGTGTATGGGGAATTAGAAGGTAGCAAACAGCTGAATTCGTGAAATCGCGGCTGCGCAACCGTACTGTGTAGTGTAGTGCGCCTGTATAGTGTGTTCTACACGTCGCAATTTCATGCGTCTAGTCTAGCTGTTTGCTACCCTCCTACTTCCCCATACTCACTACTTCCGGTCGCTGGTAAACGCTGGTGACGCTGATAGACGCTGGCAGACGCTAGATCGATATCTACACTTTACTAGTAGCTGACGCTGTCGGACGCTCGGAACGCTTACGGTCGCTGGTAAACGATGGTGGACGCAGCCGCGAAGTATGAAAGCAGCCTTGGGCATACATGCGAGTGGCCCCAAACGACTTCCAGCGACCACCACCCTCGCTCCACCCTCACTTCTTTCCGCGCACTTTCAAGTGTCGGCATACTGCTGCAGGTGCGGACCCCTTTATCGCAGGGCAAAGACCAGGATCCTTGAAGGTGAAGATAGAAGCATGTGTTTTACAGATGAGGGCATTTGTCAACTTTGTTCGAAAGACTGAACTATTTCATGAACTACTGTAGACCGTGGTAAAATTCACATAGTTACACTCAATTCAATTGTTATTAGAGCAGGGTTCCTTGAAGAGAGCAAAGTAAGAAGGAGGAGGTGGAGCAACGGAATGAGGGAACATTTTCGGACCATGGGATGGAGATTTGTGCCTAAGCTTTGAAATAGCTGAGAAAAAAGAGCGGCAAGCTTCAGGGTTGGTGAATGAATTGCATGGAGAACTACGTCTACCCATTCTCGAGGTTCTTCCTCCCTTGACTTGTAGTAATCCTCATTTAGATCCGCTGTAATATACTTTAAAGGCAAGAGGCACGATACGTGAAGGACTCATACGGCTAGCAAGACAGAATTTGACGCACCTGGTTTTCCTAAAGCGCCCTATCAGTCGCCAACATACCAAACCGGATGCCACCCCTCCCGGGGTATGTGACAAGAGAATCGTAATTCGCCGCTTTGATGAGCGTCATGTGCGACGTCGCGCCCGCAAATGACGATGGTTCCAGGTAGTAGATGGCAAAAACAGGCAAGTTGGAACTAAAAATAGTCATGAAAGTCTACGATGAGGGGTCTACATGATGTCCGGTGCTCCAATCGACAGGTTAACACGAGTTAAGAAAACGCCGCGCCCGTCGCCGCGCGCGGCGGAGCGGGAAATACGATTCTCTTGCCCGTCTCCCCACCCCCTCCCAGGGCACGCCACCGCAGTGTGATCATTTTCTAAAAATTACGACCCGCCCCCTTTTTTTGGGAGTTGGTACCACGATCCCCCCTCCCAGCCCTCTGTCCTTCCTCATCGAACCGAGCCGTCGAGCGGGGGGGGGGAGGAGGTCGTCAGAATTAAACTATCATTTTCAAGTGTCGGAAATAGTAGTGCGTCCGTGAACTGACCAAATACGACCCCCCCCTCCCAAAAATGACCAAGTACGACCCCCCCCCTCCCTTTACAGCGTCCGTGAAACAAGAGAAATCAACTATCAAAAAAATTTTCTCTGACCAAATACGACCCCCCTCCCTCGCGGTCAAATACGACCCCCCCCTTGTGATGATCACAACGCTGGCGTACCCTGCCCCCTCCTCTCCCAAATGGAAGACAGTACCTGATGTTAGCATTGCTTTATTTGTTAAAGACAGCTCCCGCGATAAAAGTGTCAAGGATAATTGCTGATCAATTATGAAACAGTAGCTGATAAGTAATTCCTCAATGAAGGAAAAAAGAAACAAGAGCCCTCAAGAACACCATAAACAAAATCGCGCCCTGACAGTCACACCTCCCTGCGGTCTCTGTGCAAGCCCTGGCTCACAAATCACTTTGTCACATCTCCCAGTAGTGGATATCATCGAATGCGAAGAAAAGAAAACAAAAAACAACAGAAACATAGAGGAAAAACTCTTGAAAAGAAAAGGAAACATTTAAAAAGCCGGCGTCCGAACTTAC